TACTTGCTGCTCCTTGGATACTCTATACAGAGTTACTATGGGTCAGAACTAACTCGATGGCACTCAACAACAACATATATAATTATAAACTGAGATTTAAAACATATGTACACAAATAAGTCATATGCATAAGTATATATGTCTATTAGTAGAAAGATATAAAAATTGCATATTAACAGTCTAAAATGATGGATATATACATTTGTCTTAGTATATTTGTGCAGCATGTTGTTGTTGTTGTTAAGTGCTGTCCAATCAGTTCCAACTCATAGCAACCCTGTACAGGGTTTCCAAAGAGTGGCTGGTGCGTTTGATCCTCCAACTTTGTGGTTACCAGTCCCTACCAGGACTCCATATATCTGTGTAATTGTGATTTGTGTATTAGTATTTTGAATTTTTATTACAGATTCAGCTAGGTTGTCAAATTTCTAGTTCTAGTGAAACAAACCTAGTGTTTTGGTGTAATAGTGACCTCTTCTGGTGACTGAATTTTTAAAACAAAAACAAAAGTAAAGTCTTGCTATATACTCACACCTGTTTTGTTTGTGGTAAGTACCACATTTCCTCTCTACAGGTAAAATGAAAGGTATATTTCCTTTTTTAAAAAAAAATTAAGAGTCCTAGTTTAAAAGTATTTTTATAAATCATAAATAAGTTATTAAAAGAGGCTAATTTACATGGATTTAATTTATTACCGGATTTTATAGTAATTCAAATTATTCACTCCAACAGCTTATGTCTGCTAAACATTATAATGTTTTTCTTTTAATGTATTAAAAGATCTGTAAGTTATATAAGCAAATTGTTTTATCACATCTAACTTTGACAAATGCTATAAAGTTTGATGATGTGAGTAAATTCAGTGAATTCATTCAAGACTACTTTGAAATAGTAAGTGTAATAGCTAAAAAATATTCAAGCTGAAAACTTTATGCAATTATTAAAATCATATTATAAGTGGGATAAAGCACAGGAAGTTCTTGAGGGCTGGGTGGCCCACAAATTTCAGAAGGGAGGCTCATTTCCAGATGTTGTGATGTTTTAAGAGGAGTCTTGGTGAGATAGCCACTCTGTGAGAAACAGATGTAGCAGTCTGCGTCCCTAAAGATTACAGCCTTGGAAACCATAAGGAGCAGTTCTACTCCATTCCATTGTGTCAGATCAACTTGGCAACAAGATGTTTGGTGTTTTTTTCTTTGGTTGGGGGGGCGGGGTGGAGATACGATAATCTCTGCTTCAGTTCATCCACTATTCGTCTAATCAGTTTGTTGTACTGAGCTGGTTTTCATGTTGCTGTGATGCTGGAAACCATACCACTGGTGTGTTTCAAGTATCAGCAGTGTCACCCACCATGGACAGGATTCAGCGGAGCTTCCAAACTAAGACGTACCTGGGAGAAGAACTTGACAGTCTACTTCTGAAAAAAAAATTGACCAGTGAAAACATTATAATAGCAGGGAATTGTCTGATACAGTGCCAGAAGTTGAGCTCCTCGGGTAAATGAAAACAAAAATCCTCACAGCTGAACCAATAAATAACATCATGATAAACTGAGAAAAGATTGAAATTGTTAAATATTTCTTTTTACTTGGATCCACAATCAATGCTGATAGAAAAAGCAGTCAAGAAATCAGACATATTGCATTGAGCAAATATGCAATAGACCTCTTTAAACTATTAAAAAACAAAGATAACACTTTGAGGAGTAAGGTGCTCCTGGCCCACGCCATAGTATTTTTAATTATCTCAAATGCGTGTGAAAGCTGGACAGTGAATAAGGAAAACCGCAGAAGAATTGATGCATTTTAATTATGGTGTTGACGAAGAATATTAAATGTACCTTGGAGTGACAGAAGAATGAACAAATCTGACCTGAAAGGAGTACAGTAAGAATGAATGCTCTTTGCAAGTGAGATCGCAAGACTTTTATGTATTTGGACATGTTATCTGGAGGGACCAGTCCCTAAGAAGGACATCACGCTTAGCAAACTGGTGGTGGTTGTTAAGTGATGTCAAGTCAGTTTTGACTCACAGGAACCCTGTATAGGGTTTCTTAGACTGTAAATCTAAGCCATTGTAGAAAGTCCCATCTTTCTCTTGTGGAGCAGCTGATGGACTCAAAGTGCCAACTCTGTGGTTAGCAGTCCAGTGCTTATCCTACAGATCCACTGTGCTCCCCTAGCACAGTAGAGGGCCAGTGAAAATAAGGAAGATGGTTTGAATAGTGGATGCAACAATGGGCTCAAACATAGCAACAATTACAAAGATGCATAATTTTAGTACAATAAGCTATGGTAGAGTAGGGGTTATGAATCGGGCTGCAAACCGCAAGGTCAGCAGTTCAAAACTACCAGCTGTTCCGCAGGAGAAAGATGAGGCTTTCTGCTCCCGTAAAGATTTACAGCCTCGGAAACCCTGTACAGGGTTGCTATTGTTTGGAACTGACTCCACAGCATATAATCAACCAACCAACCAAGTAACATAATGATAGTAGTGTTAATGTTGTTGTTGTTAAGTGCCATTGAGTTGGTTCCAACACATAGTGACCCGGCATAGGGTTTTTGGAGGAACAGCAGGCGAGTTTGACCTGACCTTACTATTCAAACTGACCTTGCAGTCCAGTGCTTTTTCCTACAGCGCCACACCAAGTCTCCAATAATAATAATGGTTGTTATTATTGTTATAATTTTAAAGGCTATTTGGACAAATGTATCTCACTTCTCCAATGTACTTCTTTCTCCTTGTAATCTCGTTTTCATTAGCTGCTTCTTATTTTTTCCCTAGGTGTTTCTTTTTTCTTTATTTTAGTTTTAAAATGTGTTTTGTGAACTGAAACCCTATACTTATCTCATAACCTTTTCTTGAATACGATCCAAATAACACACATGAAATAGATGCCATATGAGTGTAGTAGGCTTGATTTGTATGATAGTATGTAAACCTCCTCAGATTATCAGTGCAGACTTAGGAAATGTTTCATATAAAATTCAGTTACACCTATCATTTCCTTTTCAGTTTTTTGTTTATTTGTATGTTTTTCACTCAAACATGATACTGGGCATCTGGTTAGTATATGATTTAAATAAATTATAAGAGGCATTAATAGAGTAGTAGATTACAAGCTAACCACAAGGTCAGTAATTTGAATCTACCAGTTCTGCAGGAGGAAAATAAGACTTTCTGCTTCTGTAAAAATTTACAGCCTTGGAAACCGTATGTTGTTGGGTTTGAACCCCCAGCTAGTGGGATTGAACCACCAACTTTGAGGTTCAAACTGACCTCACGATCTAGTCCTTACCCTATAGAGCTACACCAGAACTAACTTCTGGAAGCCATATACAGGGTCACTATGAGTTGGATCCAAGTCAGTGGCACACAGCCACTACCACCACCATACTTAAACTAGTATATACAGCAAAGAAAGAAATGACTCACATATCTTGACCAGAAATGTGACAACAGACTTCAGGAATCTTTGTGGGATCACAATCTTTAAGAACACCATTTAAAACATCAGGCCTTAGGAGCAGTTTGGCAGTTAGGTGAAAAGCACAGAAGATCGGCAGAATATTGGAACTATGTTCATGTCATCTCATAGTTCCAATATTGTGCCCATCTCCTGGTGTGGTATTGTAGGATAAGCACTGGGCTGCTAACTGTTAAGTTTGCCGGTTCAAACACATCAGCTGCTCTTTGGAAACCCTATACAGGGTTTATATGAATCAGAGCTGTCTCGACAGCACTTAATAACAACAACAAGTATTATTTGGAGTACAATTGTGGCAACATAGGATAAACACTGGACAGCTACCTGCAAGGTTGGGGTGCAAACCCACCAGTCACTCCTCGGAAACCTTATACAGAGTTGCTGTGAGTTGGAACTTAACAACAACAACAATATATCTTATTTTTTAAATCTCTCTCAAAATGAAATGTTCTACTTCTTCAGTTAATAATATTAAAATTAAAATAGGCATATCTGGTAGCATAGTGGTTATGAATTGGGCTGCAAACAGCAAGGTCAGCAGTTCAAAACTACCAGCTGTTCCGCAGGAGAAAGATGAGGCTTTCTGCTCCCGTAAAGATTTACAGCCTTGGAAACCCTATACAGGGTCTCTATGAGTCAGAACCGACTCTACGACATACACCTAACCTACCAATCCTTTCATCTGGAGTACATTTCTGTCACTGGATCCTCTTTGCTAGGTTAATCATCATCATTGTTATAAAATCAAACAAATTTGAAGTAGATTCATTTTCAATCTTTAAAGCACAAAAGAATGTAGAGAGGGAATTGAATAAAAGGAATGATGTTAACAAAGGAGAGGCAAGAAAAAGGCAGAGGAAGAAGAGAAAAAAAAGAGTCCAAAAGAGGAGCTAATAAGTTTTCTCCAAGTCTGCTTGATAGCTTTTTCTTTGGTTGTAGAATGTGTAAAAGATTGCTTTATTAATATTGATGGAGAAAGTAAAAAATTGAGGAACTAAAAGAAGCACTAGACCTCTCATACTTTTATAATCTGGGGAAAATAATATGATATGGGGAGAGGGGGTTGTTGTTCTGTTAAGTGCTGCTGAGTCAGTTCTGACTCATAGCAACCCAGTATAGGGTTTCTAAGGAGCAGCTGATGGATTTGAACCACCCACTTTGTGGTTAGCAGTCCAGTACTTATCTAATAGCCTCATACCAGATCCATGCAAATTTTACATTAAATGTCACACAAATCAGAATGTCCAGTAAGAGTGCTAATAGGATTAGTACTCTGACATTATTTAAACTTGTTTACAGTTGTCAAATTGTAAACTTCTCCCCCTTTTAAAAATATTTAGTGCAGTACTTACCAAAGTTATAATTAGTACACAATTAAAACTGCCTTTTCCAATTAAAATACTTATTTTTCCCTAAAATTTGAGAGTGATCTGTCTCATAGAATCCTTTATTTAACTCTGCTTTGCTTGCTTTCTGTGTACACAGAAAGAACTCATATTTGTTATTCCCACAGGGAACGTGATGCAAATAAAATCAATTACATGTATGCTCAGTATGTCAAGAATACTATGGAACCACTCAATATCCCAGATGTCAGTAAGGACAGAAGATTTCCCTGGACAGTAAGTAACCCAATTTTAGACTTAATATTAGATTGCTGTTTTCTCATCAGATTGGTACTTACAGTTAATTCTTCAACTAAAGGATGGCCTCCCAGATGGTTATTGAAGTGCTTTCCCTGATCAGATAAATGCAAATTAAATAGCTCATATTATCTATTTAGAGGTAGTCATCTAAACTTAAAATGGAGCGTTGGTGGTTAAGTTCTCTGTTGCTAACTGAAAGGTTGACAGTTCAATCCCACCGAGCAGCTCCACAGGAGATAGGTCTGACAATCTGCTCTCATAAAGATTATAGCCAAGAAAACTCTATGGGTCAGTTCTATTTCATCATGTGGGTCACTGTGAGTCAAAATCAACTCAAGAATACTTCACAATAATAACATAAATACTTAGGTATTTTTAAGTGTATTTTAATAAACTATAATACATTTATGTTGAGGTAAGTTAATGCTTTACCTACATGTCAGCAAAATAGCTTCTAAATTATTGCTAGAGTTAAGTTTATCCTAAAAAATTAAGCTTCGGTTAACTCAAGTTTGTGTAAATTGGTAATCTACTCAGTGAGCAGCTCTGTTGGAAAGTAAGTATCTGTAGAAGTACTTCAAATAGTTCGTGGAAAGTTTTCATTATCTTTTAACTGCATTTTTCCATGAACTTTTTGAAGTTCCCTCGTATTTCCCTGGAATTAACAATTCTCAGACACTAAAAACTTAGAATTCTAGTATTTTCTCTTAATTCAGAAAAGCATTGCACATTGAAGCAACTGCCTTGGTTTCATTATGTTTATTATTTATTATAATAAACAGTATATTATTTGAACTTTAATAATATATTGTTGTTGTTAAGTGCCATCAAGTCAGTACGAATTCATGACAACCCTGTTTCTGAAAAGCAACTGGTAGGTTTGAACTGCAGACCTTGCAGGAGCAGTCCAGTGCTTATTATACAGGGCACCACACCAGAATTCTGAATAATATATGGACAAGAGAAGCTGCAGCATTATTAAAGCAGGATAAGTTTGTCTCTGTAAAATTTTATTTTTTTGACTTTTTATTGTGAATTAGGGAAAGGTTTACAGAGCAAATCAACTTTTTCATTCAGTGATTCATAAACATTTTATTTCATGTCATTGATTGCAATCCCCACAATGTAACATCACTTAGTCCATTCCCACCCTGTGTTTTCTGTTTCTATTTCTTCTTCCTCCTAAGCCTTCCTACCTTCTAGACTTTGTCCTTGGGCAAATCTTGCCTTTCTGATCTCAAATGCTTGACTATGCAAGAGTGTGTACCTCCCTAGTATTAATGTTCATCTTATAGACCTGTCTATTTGGCTAAAAATGGAATGACAGGATAAAGCAATACCGTTTGTAACAATGAAGTGTCCTAGATGGAGTTCTGGTGTTGCACTGCAGGTAAGCACTGGACTGCTAACCAAAAGATCGGCTGTTCAAATCTACCAATCCCTCCCCAGAAACCCTATATAGGGGCACTATGAGTCTAAACTGACTCCAAGGTTCTTAACAAAACCAAGGATCCTAGATAGAAGCCTGGATTCTCAGATTTAAACTTGTCTGCTAACAGAAAGATTGGCATTTCAAATCTACCCAGTGGCTTTGTGGGAAAATACCTATCTGTTCCCACAAAGATTACAGCTAAAAAATGCTATGGGGAGATCTACTCTGTCCTATAGGACTGCTTTGAGTTGGTTGGAGTTGACTTGACAGCTCACAACAATGCCCTAAGATACTTTTGTGTTGTGCCCCTTGCCAGATTATTTGCGATATCTACTGTGTCAGTATAGTAGATGCTGAGTAAATTGTCGTCTTATTATTACGATAAGCTATTTGGAAATGTTTAAAATGTAAAAAGTCAAAATGCAGGGTGGAGATATTTTTATAAAGAGTGGCTGCTTTATGTTACAATTATGTGAACTTCATTATAGTTTTTACATCTTCTGTACTCTGATTTTATCTTCAGTTAATAAAAGATGAGAATATTAGTGATGTAAGTATGTGCCATCTAATACATCATTTTATCTCTTCATAATTTTTTGCTGTTCTGTTTTGGTTTTTTTTTTTTTTAGAATGAAAACATGGAAAATGTAAAACAGCAACACATTCGAAGTTTGCTTTGTACACCTATAAAAAATGGAAAGAAGAATAAAGTGATAGGTAAAGGCTTACCATTAACACAAGTATTTTTCACGTATATATATAAAAAAAAGTAATACATGTTCCTGGAAATTTCTTTCTTTTAAGTATCGGTTTAAAGAATAAAGTATATGCAAGAAGATGAAGATAGGAATTATAAAATAATTTTGAATGAATTTTATGTTAATGAATGCCAACAGACATTATTAGTTACCTTATTAACTTTAATGTGTTAATAGATGATAAAATTTGTAGTCCTACTTTATTAGAATTTATTTAAAAATAGCATCATACTGAAAGTCAGTAGACTAAGTGAGAATCTTTGAATTGATCGTGTATATTGAGTCCTGCTATGGCACCATAGATCAATGCTCTGGACTGCAAGGTTGGTTTGAACCGTAAGGTCGAAAGTTCAAGTTTACCCTAGAAACCCTATGCAGGGTAGTTATGAGTCAGAACCGACTCGACAACACTTACCAACAATAACAATGACATTGTTTGAGACAGTCATAGTCTGGCATCTGAAATATTTTTGTTTTTAACATGTAGTTTAGCTTATAGGCTGAATTCATTTATATGCAGTCAATATTTTGAACACTACACAGTTCCGGAATCCCTGGGTCGTACGAATTGTTAGAAACTCAACTACTAGTCAGAGAATTGGTGGTTCAAACCTACTAAAAGGCACCTCAGAAGACAAGCCTGATCATTCCAAAAGGTCATAGCCTTGAAAACCCTGTAGAGCTGTTCTGACTTGCACACTTGGGGTCTCCATGAGTCTGAGTTGACTTGACAGCAATTAGCTGCTTGGGATAAATCCACAACCATAGCAGGATTCCTGTCCCCTGGGTGCTTACATTCTTGTGTGAGGTTTTTAGAAAACTTTTACTGTAGGCATATAGAAATCATCACAAATAATATCAATGCAAGTAAAATTTTACTAAAGATAATTAAAAAACAGTTACAGCAGTATATCAACAGGGAGCTGCCAGAAATTCAAGAGGGATTCAGAAGAGGCTGTGGAGCTAGGGAT